AAAAGAGGTGGGGGAGGGTGAGTCAAAACCCTGTTTTATTTTGAAAAAAAAGGGGTGGGGTGGGGGATAATTTAGGACTATAATTTATACTTGTTTGGAGGGTAAAAAAACAAAGTGAGTTGAAAACCTGGTTTTCTAATACTACTTATATATATATATATATATATATATATATATATATATATATATATATATAGATATATATATCTATATATATATATATATATATATATATATATATATATATAATAATAATATGGCATTTAAAGTGGTGGTATAAAGCAAATTGATAGAGCAATAATATTGGTGTATCAAATTATGATCCTCCCATCGTGCAATAATACGCACACATAATCATTCTAGCGATCGTCTGCAATTGATTCTAGATAGATGAAAGTATTGTTTGCAAAATGTACCAAGAAATACTCAATGGAAAGGGACTCGAATTGCATGACTTTCAATGTTCTTAAAACATTGGTGTGAATTTGGTCAGAATGGACATTCATGATTATCAATTGCATTGCAATATATTCCATTCAGTTCTCATGCCAGCTCTAAACACGTATACATCAAATGGCTTGTACATTACTGAGCCCATTTAGTTCCTCAAACATCACTTGATTCTGTTCGAGGATTTTGGATTGAGTTAAACGAGTTTTCAAGGTCGAGGACTGAGCTTAGGGACACGTTTCGATACATCTAATTGTTAGATCTCTTTTAGTGGATGGTAATATGCTCTTTAATTTCCAAATGATCATTCAAATAGATTGTAAAGACCAAACTATACAAATATGTAAACCATGTTCAATATAAACCTGTATCATTGACAGAAAGATTTTCGTTTGTTTTAAATTTGTAAATAATATCAAACTAATGTGGGATCATCCCATAGGTTTCAATAATCATAATCGGATGTCTCATGGCAAGGTCTCTTATCAACTGGCGTTTTCGATGGATTGCAAATGAGCTCGTGTCTATACACGAATAATCTCTCTCTCTCTCTCTCTCTCTCTCTCTCTCTCTCTCTCTCTCTCTCTCTCTCTCTCTCTCTCTCTCTCTCTCACACACACACACACACACACACACATCATACATTCTTCTATCCAATGTGCGTCCACAATTTGAGTGACAAATGTGAAGTTTAGTGTCTCAGGCAATGCTGGATATTTAATTTAATTTTACTTTCATAAAAAATGTATTCAGTGTCAAAATTTAGTTTGGATTCTCATACAAACTATTTAGCGCATCATGATGAAACTTTCAGTGTGGGTACGTCATGAGGTGTATTACACAACTCAGACAATTGATAAGAACTCACAACAGTACTCATTGATTAGTATTTTTATCAGTTGTCATGCCTTTTTTTATCAGCTACTATCATCGTTTAACAATTCAATTTAGTTGATCAACATTACAGGGTGTCTGCCGACTCTTTGAAGTTGAGCTGAGGTCATTATCAAATACACATTATATTTTCGCGCATATATGTCGTGTGTCTGATAATCCACACAGTGTTACGAACTCCTTTGTACTCAATAGTGATAAATATGCCATATGTAGTCGCATATCTACTCATGCCGCAAACAAAACGATCCAGATCTGATGTAGCATAATGCGCATGCCGCTCAGGTTCTTTGTTATTTTTTCTACTGATTTTTCATTTAAAACAATGCACTGTCTCAGATCTGCCGGTTCATTGTGAATCTGTGAAGTTTGCAGTTGGTCCCGGTACAAGTCGCTCAATTTAATTGTTTGATCCATCGATATCACAAACGTTCATCACATGCATTTGTTCGATTGACGAAGAGATTGTTTTAGTGCTGGGTAGATTTTCAAACTAATCGATTAGTTAGAATATATATATAGGAAAAGCACTAGCTTATTTTCAACATAAAACATAAACATACCTCTTCTTTATTTGCTGAACACAACCAATATAGAATGCATTTTCATTTTGATTGAATTCAAAAGTGTCTAGAAAACGGACGATTTAGCAAACCTCTAGCATACTTACTTTGGATATTACATTCTTTGAAATCTAATACTTATATTAATGGAGCAAACCTATATTGCTGGGATTTCATAGCACTTGCACGCAAGACAAACTATCGTGTTTTCATTTTATTAGCATCTCATTATTGTGATTTGTCTTCATTTTCTGAATATTTATTCCATTCTTCAGTTGGAAACAATCATACACTTCATAGTAATGTTCAAAATTAATTTTGAATGAGACACCCCAAAGCTGATGAAAATGGTGTCTCATTTGGCAAAAGAAGAAGAGGTTATTAGGTGCACCGCAACTGGTTATGAAAACGGAAGTTTCTTTCAGCACCAGAAATATTCACAGACTTTAAATTTATGTTCATTGAAGACGATATTTAGCGAGACTTTGTGTTTCTTGAAGACAAGATTTTTAATGTGTATATTCATACGTTCGGTGGTCAAAATCTGTATTTGAATACCTTGGGCATCACATCAATTGACGTTGACTTGCATTCTGGCAGAGTGCAGTGTTTATGCTAGAATTATGCAACAAATACCATGTCTGAAGTGATTTTTTGTATTATATTTATTTCGTCTTTTTAAGAATAACACTGAAATCCAACAAGGCAGGTGTATCTTTTAATAACACATCAGGAGATGTATAAGAGATTGTCTCATCGAGACCCATAACATTAAAATTCTGCAAAATAAATGCGTACAATCAAGTTTCAGCAAGACGTCTTCTTATTAACATTTTAAATCATTTTCCATTGCTTTCGAAATCTAACTCGCCATTTTTGAGATTAGATTCAGAGACTCGGCCTCATCTGATTTAATAACAATATTTAGAATACATGGTCAGACATATAACATTTTTCTAACGGTAAGGAAACCTCATCGGTTCATCTTTTCACTCCGAGTCCTACCATCTATTAAGATAACCAAGGGTTTTCACAGGCGTTCTTCTAATTTATGTGCATATTAACGAAAATATAATGTAATTTACAGGTGTGCTACAAGTGGGATTTTTAAAAATGAAATTAATATTTGTATTTAAAGACCTATGATCCTATTGTATAAATTCAAAACCATGAACCGTTGATAAAATGAGATTCAATACAACCCAAGAAAAATAAAACTGGATATAATCTCACAATTTATACTGACTGCCGTTGAGAAATGGCCAATATTTGTTTTAATTTAACTATATCATTTATTAGTTTATTTAATGTTTGTCCACAACATTTCGAAAATAATGTGACTAAAGAAACATTCCTTAGAGACTCGCGTGATTCAGTATGCTTTTATAAGAGTTTTATTTACGGAAGTCGGACGTCACTGTGTCTGAACCACAAGACTTACCTACACACTTGAGATAAAAACATTTTCTGCCAGACTTATCCGCTTTAGGATCCGCGTACAAGAAACGTATTTTATGTGCCACGTGTGACCAATAGCAATGAAGTCGGAAACGAGAAAGGCTTAAGGATCATTATCAACTGATCACTAATCATAAACATGTATTATGTCTCCTTTGCCGGTAGCGGCCAATGTAGACATTGATATCGTAAAGCGTATCGATTTTGAACAAGGTATTATATGATGGAGTATCAATTTCGTGCTCCATTATTTTTAATTCCTGACTTGTACTTAATAATATAAGGCAGTTGGTTTAATCATAGCCCACTCTCGGGAAAAAATACCCAACAGGATGGGCTGAAAATTTTCTCAGAGATAAGTCCTAGTATTCTGCAGCTTGTTCTACAATACAATGTATTTTTTAATGTACAAACTTGTTTTGTTTTATGAACGTGAATCTTGGACTGTTTAAAATTCTTTATTTCTATAAAAATTTGAGCGGGGTATATTTCTTACAGTATTGTGTTTGGAATTTATACTGCAAACTAACGAACAATGGATTAAAAAATTTCATTATGTCATGATTGCAATACAAACTTTGCGTTATAACTTGCAGATCAGAAACATGTTTATCTGACTGCCTGTTTGAGTGGCTATAAATTGGTACATGCGACTGGTGGCACATCCTCTGTGCGTGCGTGTGTGTGTGTGAAGTATTTTGCTGTCTCCATTGTCTTTTCGTGCAAAGCATAATTGTTATTTTTGCTGCATTCTTATCTTTTATGTCCCCATTTGTGTTCTTGTAAAAACAAACCATTTATCTGCGATTTCATCCATTCCTGTAATTATTCTTTCGCTTAGATTGTCCACAATTATAGACTTCTCTTTATTCTGAATTCACATGTTTTCACGTGGATTACACTTCGACCAGGATATTATTTTGCAAGTCGACTCTTATGTAATCCAATCTATAATATATCCACATAGCAGAAACCTGTTGGAGCCTATCCATGTGTATATCCGTATGCAAGAGAGTATGTACATGTCTTTCTTAGACCGCAAGCCGAGAACCTGTTGCTCAGAAGGATTGATGTGCAAACTCACTAATAGTCAAGCTTTTAACAGATATTAGCTTAATCCTTTTTAGACAAATGACATTGGAATCTCCAGTTGAGGTGTCCGTCGGCATTAGTTTACATCTTTCATCGGTCTCTTGTTATTACATACGTTTTGAGAAACGTCTGTATATTTTGTACAAGGCTATGTTTCAACAGGCAATCAAATTGAGAATAAGTTTTCGCAAATTACATTTTCATTTATACTAAATAAATATAACTTTTCTTTTATTTTGCATTCAAGATTCTTAATATGTCTGTGTTCACCTCCAACACTTGATATATGTGGTCTAGCTGTTAAGGGGCTATCATTTACTGATCACTGCGTAGATTCGAGTCTTGGATCGACCTATGCGGGTATGTGAGAAAGTTTGCCAGTTGGGTCGATGGAGTTTTCTTAGATATTCTCTGGCCCTTTCTGCACAGCATATACTGTGCACCATATTTTGCCTATGATTTGCTGAACATAAATCGCTCTTGATAGATACTTCACTATTAGAAAAGTTAGATATTGTATATCGCTCTAAGACAACCGCTCCGGTGGCTTAGTGGTTAGAGCATCCGCCTCAGATGCGAGAGATCGTGTGTTTGATCTCCTGTCGAGTCATACCAAAGACTTACAAATTGGTACTAACAGCTGCCTCGTTTGGTTCTCAGCATTAGGATGTCAATGTTAGGACTGGTCGGCCTGGTGTCAGGATAATGCGAATGGGTGGGACATCATGATGTCTACGGTATGATGCCCCAGTGCTAGACATCACTTTAAACTACCACACGGCAGACATCGAAGCGATATGACTGAAAAATTGTTAAAGCTACGTTAAAAATCAATCACATCACATCACATCACTGATTAAGACAACACCATTAGCTTTTCCTTGCTGAGATCTGTTGACAAGCAGAACGGCATCTAGCATGAACACTGATTTACTTGACAGTTTCCGTTTTCACCTACCTGACTCACATTTAATTATTTACCGTCTAGCGTTTTAATCAAGCATAGACTTTTTAAGACACTGATAAGGCGTTTGATTGTCACTGGAATTTTACATTTACTTTGCATTTCTCTACACAGTTCAAACCGAACGTCAATATTATTTAAGTGAGTGATACTGGAGCAAATCTCAAGACTAAGTTTATATGCTGGTTTGGAACAATGTGTTTCCAAATCCCTTAAGCCACAAAGACATTTTGATGTGCAATATCTTCAGTACTATATTGCCAGAACGAAATTATGTTGAGGGAATAAACTGACAAGAGTTCTAAAATGTGTAAAAATAGCTGTCGTTGAAGAAAGTAAATGCAGATAGTAGTATTGCTGTATGCATTTTGGTTTAGTTATATTTGTACACTATTCATTATTCATGAATGGAAGAAATGTTCAGTTTTAGGGTACAGTTTTAGTTTCCAAACTTTTAATGTTGCACTATATGTGTAAAATTTTTTTTCTAGAAATTACGTCGAATTTGGATTGTAGCTACTTAGTCTGATAACTCGTAATGTGTACTTTCTGGACTCATTCATACCAAAGGCAAACGTTTGGTGGTGTTGTAGAGGTGGTGTTGTAGAGTATTAATGAAGAAAATCAGATTCTGGGACAGGAACATAACGTCATGTACTAACAATGCCAGATAAGGTTAGCTTTGTGATATTCGGAATGAATCACAGAATGACATATTTTGGGTTTGTTTGTTTTTTTAAAAAACAACTGGCTAATACAGACCAAATAAGCCTACAGTTTACACAAGTAAATATACCATGAAAGTTTCAAGACAAAGAACCGGATTTTTAGATTGCCAGATTCGAAAAAGCATTTATGATCATGCTTCCCATTTAAGTTTTTATTATACGTGCTAAGGAAATTTTCTGATTAATACAGTTTTACATACCACCTGACAAATGATTTGGCCAATCTACACATGTATACATTCCGAAAAATCAATAATTTTATTTCTTTATATGCAACTGAATAAGGTAGTCACACAAATAAACAGCCTTAAAAACGCACACCGCCTATAATGTTCTCAATGACTTGCGAGATACAGTCTTTATATATAAGCATATCTTATAGACACTGGCAAGTTAACTATTTACATCTAACTAATGGAAGGTTATCTTAATATGCTGCTTCTTACTCGTAATATGCAAATGCTCCTGGATCATTAGATGATGAAAAGGTGGTAGTGTTATGTAATCAATTAGAATCCCATTCATAATGTCTGCTGATACTTAAAGGATATAGCACCTATAATTGAAGTATTACGTTTACCGTATTTATTCACGTCTATATTGAATAGTTTATATTTATCTTTTTTTTAATTTGTTCGTAATCATAATTTTATTTGGATTAATATGTGGGCAGCTAAATTGTACCAAAAATAAGTTTTATCAATTATACCACCAGATACAATCATGCAAGTCTATAAGACAAATTAAATCATTTCTTAATGTGACCAAAAGTGTTATCACAAAAAGCTAGAGATTGTCAAACTGAAGAAAATGTTCCCCAACAACGGTTTCTATAAAAAAAAATATTTTACGACTGTTTTTCTCCTTTGTAAGTTGTTCCTAATGTCTAAAAGACAACATTACTTGTTATTTGCAGACGAGAGCATCAAGTTAATAAATGTTTACTAAATCTATAGTCAGTGTTCGCTTTTTATTAACTTTTTTTATAGCACCGGGACAGTCTCTCATACAAAATATATTTCGAATTTTATCTAGTTCAGTGCATTATCGATGTCTAATTACACTTGCATACGTTCAAGTAGATTGTTAGTAAACATAACTATGGTTTCAATTTTTTTAACGATTATATTAAAACGAATTGAGAGAAAATATAGATGTTCTGCGAGTACACAATAAAACAATGAAACAAAAACCCGTACAATTTATGTATGTGAGGAAACAGGCGATTAAAAATATATCTTATTTCATTATTCTCACACCATGTTAAACATAATGGTAATAACTAGATTACAATTATTAATGTAAACGTCTTAGCTGACATTTTGCCTTCTTGCTAGTTATAGCTAACTTATTTATTACTAGTAAGCTGGAATTTCTGAACAACAGATTTCTCCCAAAGATTTTATCTTCATAAACTCGCATTAAGTTAGACAAATATGTTCCATTAGGCTTTAACATCCATGACAATCCAGATTAAAAAGAGTAATAATTAAAAGCTAATAACACTGTACACGTCATAGGATAAAGTACCTATGACCCTGTTATCACAGTTAGTTTTTATTTTGTACAACGTATCGCTTCTCATCCATACGTACGTTTAGGAGACATATATTATCTCATGGTTAAACATAATCTTATTAGCATCTAAGTGCAGAATAAATCACCTTGAGTGGACTTTGTCAGTATTCTAAGATCTTGACCTTTAATGCTTTCCTTCAGACGTTATTTCTTCCTATTTTGTCCTATTATTCTTTATGAGTTTCTTCAGGAAGGCTGCATTTCATCATGATCTTTCCACCTCTAGGAACATATCGAAGTATTACAAATCTAGGTTCTCTGTACCTGATATCTTTAAACGTGCCCGATCAGCTACTATAGGTGTACAGGGCCAATGTTGTCACTTGCAATATAGACATTATTAAATTTCTAAATGTAGTACATCAAATTATCATTCATGACATTATTGTCAGGTGGATTTCCAAAGGTTTGAAGATCAAATGTTACGTTAGCCAATGCACATAATGATAGAATAAATATTTGATTCAGCCGTTATATGCTAGCCATGCGTTCATATGGGTAAACGCTGTCCTAAAATAGATTATAGTCATTTTTATGTAACGTTTCAACAAATGAATATTTGTCAAGCAATTCCTGTGTATTTTCTCATGAAAGTAACTTGATATACCTGATTTTCTTTCCAGCTATTATTTCATTGCTCTCGTTGACGAAAGCATTAACTATGATATTTTTTGAACGATATATATATATATATATATATATATATATATATATATATATATATATATATATATATATATATATATATATATCTTGTCTTCGCTGGGTATGAAGTTTACCTTATCATCTAGATTATTCTAAGGAATATCCTTCTGAATAAATGGTTCTTAAAAGGGTTACGTTACGAAGAAAGAACTGGATGTAATTTCTATATTTAAAATTTGATCGGACTAATATATTTGCCTGTTTAGTATGGCTTTATGATCTGTTGTTTTCTACCCCACATGTGCATGTATTTTGTTGAATTAAAGTGTATATCATCTACCTATGTGAAATGTGAACACCATATCTTTCCATTTGTGAACACAATCCGTGCGTTTGTAAGCTTTTGGTTTGTTGTTAGATTATTTATTATATGTACAAATCCTTGTAGGAAATATGTCTGCCTGTTTCTATTTTCGATGATTTTGCATCACCATAAATGTTATATATTTTAGGTACTTCTCCGCACACAAAGTGTCCATGTGCTTAGGGAGACATTCAGTGAAAACTTGTTCAGAATTAACATCATTTTATTATTTACAGGTTTTGCTTTAGGCAAGATAACAATATCAAAATAATTTATTAATATATGGAACACTTCATTGATGCTCATTCTCTTTTCACAATAGAAACGCATTATTATCAATCGAATTGTCGACAATATAAATGATTATTTTGTGTTCATTTAATAGATATAATGTGATAGAAAAATCCAAGCATGTTTTACAAATATATTTCTTACCTTGTCATCTTTATACATTTATTATGTTGTTTCGTTTTAGACTTTGGAATTGAACGTATGTTGTGAATAAAATTATAATAGCAATTTCAAGTTTGGAAATTTCATTGTGAATTCGTGATTCATATTTTTGGTTGTATTTCTCGAGTCCTCTCACGTCCCATTTCGAGGAGTGAACAGTTAAAATTGAATTTACAGATAGAGAAATTGCAATGTGTAGTAATATACACTTGCTCTCATATTTTCTTCTTGGTAATGACTATCATGCTTATTCAAATACTGACAGGATGTCAGTTTTTCATTAAATAATAATTTGCTCACGGATTTTCCCTTATTTGATATATACGGTTGCTTTCGAACAGATGAAATTGCCACATGTATACTCAAATTAATTAAACCACACTGTATGTCATTTTATAAACGAACAATGCACTCTAATTTATGCATCTATTTTAGAAATTATATTTCGAGTTATATCGGAATGCAAAAGATAAACGCAGTAGCATTTCCAGTCGCCTGCTCTGTTAAAGCATATTGTATGTGTTTGTTGAGTGACGATGGACCAACTTATATTGATTTTGTTATCATAGTTGTAAAACGTTTCCTACAACCAATCGTTCTTCGGGTCACGTCAGTGGGCCGTTCGACCTTGTATTTCTAACTCTAAGCCCATTTCCTAATGCCTTCATTCATTAATGACATTGTGGCAGGCTATTCGATAGAATTATCCAGAACTGTTTGGGAGTTGGTTAGTAAGTTTATGTTAAACGAGTCAATATGTATATGTGGATTTTATAAGCAGATTAACCTGAGGATATTTCTCCTCATATCGACTTTCCAGTGACACGAGAGAAAAGTAAGGTGTTTTACAATTACTTAAACAGATATAATGAATTTCTAAACG